ACATATTTCTACAAATCCTAATTCATGGTTTGAAAAATTATTCAGTTATATTCACTGATACTTAGATTCACTGATCAGTTTTAATCACATTATTAATTGGTAGTACCATAGAAAATTTTGCATGTATGTTTGACTTTTCTTAGCTATTATATTTTCAATTTATTAGTTTAGATCTGTTATGCGTACTGAATTTAAAGTTGTTAATTTTATTTTAGCAGGGTGGCATTTTCCACTAATTTAGATGTATTTTATTCTGAAATAATTTTTAATAGTTTGATAATTCATTCACACCATTGTCATTATCTACATAAAATATACTCATTAATACCATTTTTCATTTTTCTGAAATTGTATTTGCATTATTCTGCATTTTGAATGTTATTCTATGTGTTTTATAGGTGTAGCGTATTTTCTTCAGTGACATTTTACATTTGTAATGTACTTTTTAATTATTTAAAATTTCATTGTGGAATAATATTATTACATTTAGTTTTTATTACATTTATTATTATTAAATTCCTAATTGCTGGTGACATAATTTCTATGAATATGAAATATAATTAATATCTTTGAATTTGCATATTTTACAACATTTCAACTATTAATGTTTTATTACTTTAGAATTTAATCAGAGTATTTAGTTAAATCAAGTTAAATTAATTTAGTTAAATTAATATATTCTACTAAAATAGTTATTTCAATTTTTTTCTGACAGTATGCATATTTAATTATTTTTAATTTGTACTTCAGTTTAATTGTCTCATGCTGAAGAGTAAGAATATTTTATTGCATGGGGTAATTTGAATAGTAATATCAGAATTATGTTCCATAATAATTATAATCTGGTACGACTAAGTGACAAAATGAATTGTTTAATTGAAGCATAAGTGAAATTCTAAAGTTTAAATCATGTTATATTTCAGTATGCTATTGTTTTATTATAATATGCAGCTCATATCTTATAATTAATTCTATTCATTCTCATTCATCATACTTCAATATTTTAAGCTTGCGTGCAGTTATTGAAGCGTCTACCCGCTAAAAATAAAACGTAAACCGATACTTATGCACATTGTTAATAAAATTGCTCGCAAAATATGAGACTCGTCGCAGAAAGAAAATGGGAGAGACACGAGATATCGTCATTGTAACATTTTACACGAGCACTTCACACTGCTTCACATTTTCTTTTCAGTGAGAGTTTTTCCAGTCCAACAGCCTTTTTGATGCATACCATATCAAAGTTCGGGTAAGTCTGAGCAATGTGACGTGACAGAAATTACGCTTATCGCTCAATTCCAGCTTTGGGGCGTATGTTAAAGAAACCTGATCGTATTACACGTTCGCATATAATCTACACATTTCATTTGTTTACGCTTTTTTACCCGTCCATATTACACGTGTATCGTTACATAATGTATGAATGTACCAAGTGGAAAAGTGTGAGCGAATAAGTTGAAAATAAAACGAAGATTAAATAAGAGTAAATTGCGCTTAAACACATAACTGGACAAAAGAAAAAAAAACGTATTTATACATATGTACACAAAATAAATTACAACTAATGTAAATAATGGAGAATACGATAAACGTTGAAAATAACAACTAACTACTGGGGCAAATCTACTATTACTATGAACAAATAACAACAGCAGAGAGCACTGGTTTTACTAATTTGTTTTACTTTGCATGAAACATAACAAATAAAAATGATCGAAGAGAAAGGGCATTTTTGTTTTGATATCCTTGAACAACTATTTTCGGTCACGCCGATTACGTAACACGTACTGAGATCGCGGGGATGTTTGTTTTTCTTTTTCAGAAAGAGGCAAGCTAAGATGCAAAAGGAACTGGAGGACGCGGCTCGTGATACACGACCTGTTAGCCCAGACAGATCGAGTCTGGAAGACGGAATTGCTTGTCTTCCTACTGCTGTACCGACAAAAGTGTCCGTCACGTTTGTACGTTGACAAAACTTTAATTTATGAAATACCTTATATCACATACTATATTACTGTCGGAATTTTCATTACAAATGTTTATTAATTTGTAACACGAGAAATGCATGTTTTTGTACGAGAAAAGTGACGAAACGATCGAAACGAAAAATCGATGCTTGATACTTGAGAATTTTGTATCGCAATACTTGCCAATTAGGAGAGTAATTCTCTTTAATTCTGCATTATCGGTTTTTAGGGTGCCGTTGAGGTTTTTACAAGTGTTCGCAGGTTTCTTAGTTGAAATAAAACTGTGGAATTATTGTGACGTTAGAGAAATTGTTTAACCTTAGATTAGTAATTAGAAATTGGACACCTAAGTAGAGTGTTGTTGTTTCTGTGGAGAGAACGTGTAACACGTTGAAAGTTTATTCAGAAAAATTATTTACTTTATTAAGAAAAATTAAATACGGCATAATTATGTCGTATTTTAATTTTAAGGTATACATTAGAACACCATTTGCATATTATTACATTCGTTTCCGTTTAATGGTTAAACCGATACGAATGTTAATTTCTACGAATAAAAAACGGGAATATAGATACACTATTTTTCAACTTTTTATAAATGCTAATATTTCTCAGATAGAATAGCAGTTTTATTGTTTAAAACTACACAGAGAGAGAGAGAGAGAGAGAGAGAGAGGATAGATTTACTAATATGTATTTACATGAATCTGTTGTCAAATAGTTTTTACTTTCACAAAAATATTTATAGGTTCTCTCTATGATGCAGTGTAATTTATCAGTAAAACATCCGTTTGTTGTATCAAATTAACCGGATGCTGGGAGAAATATCGTTCGGCTTAAGTTAGTATTTAGTGTTCATAACAATAAGATACTTAATGGGAATACATACAATTGTTACATATTTATTATTATTATTTATTATACAGTTGTGCATGTTACGTAATTGAAATATTAATATAGGTATTATTGTACGATTATATATATATATTTTAGCGGTATTTACAATCACGTGAAATCGATTTTTTATTGTGCTCTAGCTCGGGTATATGTAAGAATCACGTATTATTATATGTAGTGTACCAAATTAAATCTAGTATTAACAAAATGTCGGATTATTTAAGTTATGTATGTTTGTTCTGTGTTTGCAAATATATCAAGATATTAATATATAATACTACGAGGGGCGATAATGATTATTGAGATATTAAAAATGCTTTGCATTTTTATTCATGATATGTCATGTACCTACGTATTACGCCCTACTTTAACACCACTTACGATACTGTTATATTTGAAAATGGGGGCGTGTACTGTGATTCGTGAATGATACTTTACCGATGGAATTTATTCTAATAAAAAAGAGGAATTCGTATCAATTTTTCATCCATCTGTCCACATGAAACATTTAGCTTTAGTCGAGGATAGATCATTTTGTTGCACTTGTTGCAACGAAATTTTTACTAAAGTATTATACATAACGTACATTGTCACGATCATATTTAATATGGCTTTGCGATATATGCATGAGAACTTATTACACAAATCATTTTCTGGTTATTAACAATTCATTATGCTTGGAAGATCCTTCGGATATAATTTTTTATACATTTTAATCTTTCAATTATTAATAAGGAATTGGTGCATAAGGAACTTACGAATTGCAACGCTATTAATATTGGGTTGTAACATTAATTTATTTGAATTATTAATTTATTCAAATTATGCTTGGAATATGAAACATTGCTTATTTGAAATTCTAATACAGGATGAAATGAAATAAAATTGGAGATGATATAAAAATGCTGAAAAATTCTATAAATTACAGAAACTTCGGTTTAGAGTGTACTTTTCGAAATAACAGAATTTGAAATGTCGAATGGTGAAGATTTTCAGAAATATATTTTACAGTTGAAAATTTGTTCGAAGAGCGTAATTACATTTCGATACCCTCGATATTAACTACTGCCTTATGCATGCATATAAACTTTTCAAAATTTATACGTCAAGTGTTTAATCACCCTTGCAGAATGCACACGACGGAGAAGTTTATGCAGTAAAGTGGTCTCCCGTTGAGAGGATCCTTGCCACCGGTGGAGCCGACAGGAAAGTGAAGCTTTGGAACATCACAAAAGGTGATTAATTGAAACAAAATCGTACCATTAGAACGGTTGTCTAGGATTTAAATAGCTGTCGTAGTATGCGCGGTATAGGGGTATAGTTGGTGGAAGAAATACAGAGAGGTTGTAAATTAAGGGGGTTTGGCAAGTTTGTGAAAATTTGGTAAAAGTTAGAATTTTTCTCGCAGGTAATTACTAAACGAAAAGTTTCAATTTTTTGTGAGGATATAAATGTAGCTTTCAGCTTTCCCCTTCAATTTTTGAAAAGTGAAAAAGGTACAAAATGGGGGAGGTATTCGCTAATTGCGACACCTCTTCTGCTAGAACATCGATTGCTGGATGCCATCGCCACTGGTATTGAAATATAAAATAGTATTGAAATAAAAAGTTCTTTTTTATATATGAATAAGAATGTATTATCAAAAATTGTAATTATTGTAGAAATGGTGGCAGTTTGAAGAGGGAAAATCTCTTTACTAAAAAAATCAATTTTAAACGTTTCTAAAAAATTAAATAATTGAGACATCGAAAAAGTCTTATGCTACATTGTAAATAATACATTTTATTTATGAATAGAAAAGAATTTTTAATTTCAGACGTTGCACTCTTTGTCGGTGATGCGATCGATGTTCTAGCAGAAGAGGTTTCGCAATTAGCGAATAACTCCTCTATTTTCTAACATTTTTACTCTCTAAAAATTGCAGAAGGAAGCTGAAAGTTGCATTTATATCCTGTAAAAAAATTGAAACTTTTCGTGCAATAATTACCTTTCAAAAAAATTCCCAAACTTTACGTATTTTATCACCAATTGGTGCGGTAACACCAATTATTTTTATTAGGACTGAATCGAAGCTAAAGCGTATCTCGTGTAACTCTCATCGAGGTTTCTGTTCCTTATCTTCTCAAGTTTCTGCCGATTCGCTTGTCGACATGCTCGAACGTGTAAGCTTTGACGCCTGGCTGATTTTACTGCCTCGCTATATTTCTTCCATCGACTATACACGAGTGATTAATCAGGGTAACCGTTACTTCGAACGATCCCTATTATGCGAGTATTGCGTGCAAGCACCGAGATCATCGTGTGTGTAATTTATTTAGTGGTTTCGTCATTATTCAAATTCGTAACTAGCTCCAATAGAACGTGTAAATTATTACAGGACTTTCGCTTCAGTCACAAATCTCGCTGGGTTTATCGTCAATTTGTCGGATCCCATAAGATCTCAGGACTAAACGTGTTAGGTGCATATATTAATTCAGTGCCTTCTTTTACAAAGTCTTATTGCCATTACCGATTTAAAATCCTCATGATTTTTTAGAGGACATTCGTTGGTTAAAATTGAAGAAGTTCGTCCAGAATAACGGAGATTTTTTTGAACATTGAAATTGTGTTTGATTTTTTGTAAATAAATATCGAAGTTTGTGGAAAATAGAATCGAATTAATTTGTACACGTAGTGTACAATGTCGAGTAGCAAAGTTTTTTGGAGAAATATTTTTGGAGAATTTCGTAACGTTCGACGAGACAATGTTGGCTAATCAAGTGTTACGAAAGTGAGTTTAAAATTTGATTAAAACTTATTATAATGGGGTAATTAAAACTTTGTTACCATCTTTTCTTCACGAATACGTGTTTGAGAAACTTTCCATTAGGAAAAATAAAAAATTAACTTTGTGATAATGAGTCTTAAATACGGGCTGTTATGATGTGATTGAATAACGTTATAAAATTTTTTAATACGAATGTTTTTAAGCCTTAAATATCGTTTCCTTATGTGGAATGTAAGGAACAACTAAAATAGTTTAACACATGCCTACAAAATAAGAGTAGGAGGGTGTCACGTGGATTGGTATACGTTATACAGGACGATGTAGTGTTAGATGAAGCAATATACTCTCGTAGGATCCTTTTTCTGTCCACTGAATGAAGAATGCTAAGGATTCAACAGTTTCCTTGCAATGTATTAATTCACTGAGTAAAACCATGAGTCATAGAAACGTCTATTAAAATTCTTTTATATCTGATTGACTCGTCTCTCCAATAGTTTCTCTTAGAAACTTCGAAATCTCTCCTATCCTCACATTTGTGTATGCTGCTTTTCCTCTTTTCTCAATTTATCTGCTGTTGATTTTTCCTCATTTAGTTCGGTTTATTAAAAAATATTCACTTTCTCTGTTATTTACGTGGTTGAATAAAATCTCAGTTGTGATTTCTCGATGAAAAGGTTATTAAAAGTGGTTTGCAAAGAAATAGGAGGAGAATGAAACGGACCAGGCAGTCTTTGTTTCAGGTTTAAATTTATTGTAAACATTACGTTTCAGGTGGTTCAGAGAACAAAGGCATTCTCGTGGGCAGTAACGCCGGAGTGATGTGCGTCGATTTTGATTCAACGGGGACTCTCATCCTTGGAGCATCCAACGATTATGCCAGCAGGGTGTGGACTGTTAGCGATCTTCGGCTAAAGGTAAGTGGATAGCTTGTATGCAGTGTATCTTACAAGAAAATACATTTCTTCGATAAATTTACTAAATTGAACAACTATTGAAACACATACCTTTCGTCTAAGTAAAGGTTCCTCTCTAAAAGCTAAGTGACATAACAAATCGTGTTACTGAATAATTTAAAAAATATACGTCTATTTGTAAAAGTAGCAGGGAATATTGGATTCTCTTATCTCGTCGTTTCTCTACGTTAAAAATAAACCAAGCAAACCTTAATATAATCTCTTTTACTAAAATTTAATTATAAATTAATTCACAGCGGTGCTAAATTAAGCAAAGTTTTGCGAATTAATATACTGGGTGGTCCACGTAAAACAGGCCACCTTGTTTTTTTTTAACTATGGTGGTACGAGAAAATTTTTATACCTAACTTAGGTGGTTTCAAAGGGTGAATAAATGCAATTTTTTTTCTTCTTCAAGGTCACTTGTATTTTAAAATGATCTTCGACTCTAAAATTTCAAATAAAACGTGAAACTTCCTTTCATTTTTTACAATATCTTCTATCAAAATAATATAAAAAAAATTTTCTTCTGTCGTATTCACTCTTTGAAACCATTTAAATTACTTGCAAAGATTTTCTCGTACAATCATGGGCTAGAGAAGATAATTAGGTGTCCTGTTTTACGCGGCACACCCTCTATAGTAAGGTAATGATACCGCGTTGCAACAACGGTCCTCTCCTTATTTTCCATTGTAAATGTATCACGCTACATTGAGCAAAATTGAATGAAAAAAAGCTCACATTAGAAAGAAGCAAACGACCAAGGAGAAGTATCATAATGAGATGTGCTTATCTCCCCCCTTCCCCTCATGAAAATGTGATTGGCTCGACGGGCATGTCCTCGGAAGTGTATAAACAGATGCCCGGCAGAACGTGCATTAAATTATTTCGAAGCGAGAAGCAGGTCTGTGAATCTGCCAGTACTAGAATATGAAATTTATCGTCATCCTCTTCCACGACCTATTACCACGGGGGTTCATGTAAATCCTCTGGCGAGAGATCGTGAAGCTAATGACGATTCGCAAAAACGACTTTAAGAGGATCGTTCCGTGAAATCATTGGAGAATCTTTTACATCACGTCTGTCGCCGGTGAACGCCAGTTCGATACTTCTTGGCGCTTTCGTAACCTTCCGCGGGAAGAATAATACTGTCTCTTTTCGTCGATGATGTCGATATTCTCTCATCTAAAGTTTGTCCTAGTTTTCTTCCTCGCTGGCTTTCCATATTGGGAAGGAACGGAAAAGTTTCGCGGTTATTTTCCTCGCAGTCCTGTCTCCCTTTTTCTCTTTGTGTTCTCTCCCGCGAGATCTTCTTGAAAGGAAAAATGTCATCAGTAGAATGATTTTTCCCTGCATACGGGACGAAGCTTTCTCAATCGAAATGAAAGTTTCGCACGAGAGGGGTGTTTAATACGAACGGTAGTGTAATTATAAAATTCAATTGCTTTTAATACGGGATATTAATTCCACTCTGTGCTGTTCAACGAGCTCGTTAATTCGACGAGATCTTTTCATACTGTACGATGTTTCGTGACTGTTTCGAAAGTTTTTAACGCGACGGAAGATGAAAGAGCAGAAAAAGATTTAGCGTGGTCTGTAACATTATCGTTCATGATTTTTACTGCACTTTAAAGTTCTTTTATCGTCCATTTTCGGTAAAGTGTTATATCCGAAACGTTGGAGTTTAACATATTACCGTGGACGACTGCTTCTTCGTGTCCAATATTGTACGATACCGAAGTGATTGAATTTGTATAGTCGATGGAAGAAATATAGCGCGATACCCAGTGATACCCGCGGTCGCGTACGTCGTTTTAGGTTTTTTCTCGATTGGGACTGTGAATCGAAGTTAAGGCAAACTTCACGCGACCCTAACTGAGATTTCGAGCATTGAACTTCTCAGGTTTCTGTCGATATGCTCTAATATGTAAATTCTGACACCTGAGCGAACTTACTGTATTTCTTTCACCGATTATGCACTATAAAAAGTGACATTTTTACTTTTTAAAAATTGGAGGGACAAAAATTGAAACTTTTCGTTTAGTAATTACCAAGAAAAAGAAAAATCCCAAACTTTTACCTACTTTCAGAAACCTCAGAGTAGTGTACCCCCTTAACCCTTTCATTACTCTTGACGTTTGTAGGCGGTTTGAAAATTTTCTGGTATTTTTAAATTGAAGAATTTTAATTCTGAAATGTTTAAAAAATGTAGAAATGAAAAATTTTGCGGCCACGATCGAATATCTACAGTTTGTTACACGAATGACGTGCTAATGCAGCAGCGAAAGGGTTAATGTCACATTAACAAGAATTTTCTCTGATTTCATTTTCACTAAAATATTTCAATACTTGTTGCACACGGTGGATACAATGAATAATTTCACGTATACAAAATCCCTGAGAAACTATCCTCACCCTGTTGCATTGTATATCTCACTCAACTTTACCGATTACACTTTACAAAGAAAGTATCTTTTTCGAACCTCCCAAAAGGATAAACACGTTGAACAAAGAAATTCAATTTGTCTGTTCCGCGTAATCACACGGGATGCACTTAGTCATCGGCAATATACAGGGAATAATAACAAGTGCAAACGTGTCTACTAAAAGGTAGATTGGACGATAAGGTGTGTTTGCGGTCTTACAATTCCCTGACGTACTTGATAGCACGTTTCCAAGTTGCATTGTAAGGTGTTTCAGGCTGCTTGCTATGCGGTAATATCGCCGTTTATAGAATCGGTCGTTGCCAATGGAATACAATGTGTAGTATATTTGTATGAGGAACGGCCGGTGTATTGTTCCGCGTATCGTTGGACGTGTTAAATGTGATTATTCGTCACCCTGCGGATTGTGTCTGTTATATACGAGTATTCCATCTACTCCGGAAACTTTTCTTCTCGTTTGCTATTCCCCTTTCTATTTTTTCCCTCTTCTCCGGGCGCGCGTATTTTTTTCTTCTTCTTCACCGTGTTGTAGTTGAAGCAGCCAGCCAGCAGGTCGCGTTGAGAAAATCCACTCAGCCGCAGCAGTTTCATTCTGAAGATTGGCGGCCAATGGCGCGTAAACTTACGAGAAAACACGCGAACTGTGAGAGATTCGAGGCGTAGTCAGGTTCTAGGCTATTCACGATGAAAGGTGCGAGAACTGACCGCCTGATGTTTATTCTTCGCTACCTCGTCTCCTGCAGCATGCAATGTTTCTCAGACGTTATTCTTGGAACAGGAACCCTTGATCAATTTCTTTACGTTCTGGGCTAGTTTCTTGTGTAAATCTCCGCGGCGGAGAAGCTTGACTATCTGTCCTGTCAACGCGTATATCTCCCGTTCGGTAAATTATAGTTCCTTTTATTCCCTTTCTCACGATTACAGGAAAATATAAAACGATTCTCCCACGTAGATTGTACAACTCGATCTTATTGTAGAGAAGCTGGCGCAATTATGGAATTTCCATACTTTCATTACCAAATGAATTATCCTGTAGAATGTAGAGTTGCTCGAGGAGAGATTTTGTTCGTATAATAGATACGGCGGAATTCGTGAATAAAGTTTCTCCTCTCATCATAGGAGCAAGGTAAATCACCCTTTTACCGGACGTATTAGAGTTTAGCTCGGTAATATGGACTTTGTATTATAAAAAAATATATTAACACGTTGGAATGCGTTCAACAGAGATTCCTGCGTTCAGCAGCCTATCGTATGAGTTGCCACATGTCTATAATTGAGTCAGTTTTATTCAAAAAGTAACCTCTTGTCGTTGGAAAAGAGTTTGATGCCTTATTTGTTTATATGGATTCGATATGGTGCGATGTCTAACATCTTTTGTCAGTCCCTTGATTTTTTTTTCAAAGCGTCTATAAGCGTTGAGGGCACGGTGCGAGAAAATATTCGAAACGCCTATAGCCGTCAAGGGTACAGTCTGAGAAAATATTCGAAACTCCTACAGGCGCCAAAAGCTCAGCGCAAGAAAATATTCGAAATGCCTACAGTCGCTAAAGGCGCAGCGCGAGAAAATATTTGAAACGCCTATAGGCGCCAAGGGTACAGTTCCAGAAAATATTCGAAACGCCTATAGGCATCAAGGGCACAGGTCCAGAAAATATTCGAAACGCCTATAGCCGCCAAAGGCACAGTACTAGAAAATATTTGAAACGCCTATAGGCGCCAAGGGTAGAGAAATGGTTAACTTTGTTTTAAGGTTTCGATCAATGTACGGCTTCATCTGTGACTTTTAATGAAATGAAATAAACAATTGGTCGCTAATGGGAGGGAACGTTTACCTAACTTTTACTTCTCTTGCTTCTCCCCACAGCCTTTTTCTCTTCTCTCGATTCCGTTGTTCAGGTCACTTTGGATGGCTTCTTCCTTTTTTCCCTCTTTCTCTTTTCTTTTTTGCTCTGACCTCAGTTCCTAAATTTTATATTTCTCGCTAGACCCTTGTTTGTTACCCTCCTGGCAGGGAAACGATGCGTTAAACGAATATCGATGGTATTGGAGGGTACCTGGCCAGAGCGATAATGGACTCAATTTCGCGGCAGTAGGGCGCCAGTCGTTTGGATTTCTCACGTCCCGACATAGTATCGATTCTCTGGCGAAGCCCTCAGTGATTTCCTGGTCGTTCAGCATTGTGAAATCGTCATACCTTTTACTCTTTCTTCCAATAGACGTGCAAGCACTTGCGTTTCTTCTCATGCTACGTTTCTTTGTTCGCGATTGTCAATAACAGCCAAGTAACAATAACACAAAGCCCATACTTTTTAATCACAATCAACTATGGAATAAAACGGTAGATCTGTTAAAAAGCAACTATTCTTGAGCAAACAAAATGCTTTTTATTCAACTTGTGCAGTATAATTAAAGGAGAGATTATATATATATATTTCTTTTTTTTTCTCTTTTCAACTGAGTTCCTGTTACGTTTTTCTCTTGCAAATTGTACGAAGACGGAGAACTCGTACATTTTCT